CGTGCCATGGAGTCTTCAATATCCACCTGAACAGGTAGACTGGACCTCGGTTTAACATCTCATCTGAAGGACGGGACCTCCAAAAATGCAGAACCGCTCCAGCACTGCACCAAGGATCAGGTTAGACTATACGAGTTCCAAATCTGGCAGTGAGGCTTGAGACCACAAGCTTCTGGCTCAGAAGCGAGAGCGCTACCAACACAACGTTCTTCTCACCAACAAAAAAAANTTACATTTATATAACGCCTTCCACATCGAGAGGACTTTTCAAAGTACTTCACACAGCAATGTCCCCAACAAACAGCCATGAAGTGAATGACCAATTTGTCAAGGAGCTTGTTGATCAAGATTCCAAAAGAACTTTCCTTCTCAATTTGCACAGTGTTATTAGTTCTTTAACACCTTCTAAACAAGGCCGTGGTAATGACTTCTCTTCCTCTCCCAACACAGTCACATGCAAGGTTCCTCAGAGCTCTATCCTTGATCCCCTCCTCGTCACTATCTAAACATGCCCACTCGGCTGTGTGACCCGCAGACCTGAGGTTAACTTCTAGACTTGTGAAGATAACATGAAACTCTGTCTCTCTGCTTCCACCCTCAATTCAAGATGGAGGTAGATAAATATTTGTTAGATCAGGGTATTAAGAGATATGGGGCAAGGGAGGGTAACACCAACACCAAAAAAATTACATTTGTAAAGCACCTTTCATGTCGGATGGACGTCCCAAGGCGCTGGACAATCAGTGTTTCGGACCTGAGCTGGATGTCGAGATCGGGGAGGGTGGAGGGCGGGGGGGGGGGGAGGAGGGTGAGCGAAGGCGCGGTCAAAGAGGAGGGTCTTGAGATGGTCTTGAAGGAGGCAAGGGAAGGGGCAAGGAGGAGGGACTGCGGGATGGAGTTCCAGAGGGTGGAGGCAGAGTGGAGCAGGCAAGGTGGGGGGCATGCAGCAGGCCACTGAGTCGAGGGAGCGGCCAGGTTGGTAGGAGGTTAGGAGGTCACTGAGGTAGGAGGGGAGCAAGGCCGTGGAGGGCTTTGATGAGGACCAGGATCTTGAACTGTATCCTCTATGTGATGGGAAGCCAGTGGAGTTGGGCCAGGATGGGGGTGATAGGGTTGCGGAGCCTGGTGCGGAAGAGGACATGGGCTGCAGAGTTCTGGATGATCTGCAGCCTATGGAGGGAGGACTTGGGGTGGCCGACAAGCAATGAGTTTGCGTAGTCAAGCCTGGTGGTTATGAATTTGTATATGAGGGTTTTGGCGGGCTGCAGTGTGAGACAGTGGCGGAGCCAGGCGATGTTGCGGAGGTGGGGGAAGGCAGAGCGGAGTCATGGCAAGGATGTGAGTTAGAAAGTACAGTTGAGAGTCAAACAATAATAATAATCCTTCTGTTTGGTATAGTGCTTTTCACGTCTTCTAGAAGTTTCAAAGTGCTTCACAAAATATACTGTAAAGTGAATTGACTGTATATTTGTGGGTGAAACCCGGCAGCCAATTGCGCACAGCAGTGTCCCACAAACAGTCGTGGATTGAAGTGACCAATTTTTTTATTATTGTTTTTTTTTCTTGAGGGATGTTTATCAGGTGTGTGGAGTAAGGAAACTTACTCCAAGGTTTCGTCCTGCTGGGAATCGAATCCAGGTCTCTCGCTTACGAGGCGAGTGCTCTAATCACTGAACTACAGGACTTCACAGGTTCCATACTGGCTTAATACGGTGCAGTGAGCATCCATGGATGGTGATGCTGTCAGCGCCTGAGGTGTAGAAGCGCTAAAGGGAGCGAATCAGGAGAGCTCCATCTTGTAACTGGACTTGAGGTTCAGATCAGCCATGATCTTAAAAATGGCAGAACATGCTCGAGCGGCTGAATAACTTTGTGTAGGGACACCACTGAGACACAGTAGTGTCCCAAAAACAGTCGTGGATTTGATTTAAAAAAAGAACCGCAAATATATCACTATAAGTACCTTTTTTCTTAAAATGCGACTCATTTATTCTGTTTAAATGGCTTTGCAGGTCAGTGCTAGGCTATCGTACTCTGGTGGAGAGATTTACCAACGGAGCCAAGTATAATTGCTCTTGGCCTTGTATTGTCAGCAATGGAGCATTCTCTTCTAATGTTTTTTTTAAAGTTACAAAGGACTAGAAAAATATAGAAGAGGCTTTGTTTTTGCAATGCAGGTACAAGCATCAAATATCAGGCCTGGAAGCAAATTGCGTTGAAAAGTGGTAGATGTTTAATGTTAACAAATGTAATATGATGGAACTAGGACAAGAGATTAAGGTCAGGAATAGAATATAAATGCCATATGCTTACAGGATATGACCCAGGAGAAGAGCTAGTTGACAGCTCTTTGAAACCTTCAACGCGGTTATGCAACAGCATCAAGAACTCAAACAAGATTGTAGGATACCAACAGTTGTTGGTGGAGAAAACATAAGTAAACGGGACGCAGTACTGCAATGGGATATTCAGTGATTTTTGGGTACGCACTGTGGTTGTGTGTTAGTCCAAAAAATAGACACAATATAATAATAAGATTTTACACAGAACTACATAAACTGTACAGCTTCGTAACAAACTATTAAGCTCAACTAGACTGGTGTTGGTATTTATACTCCACATGAGCCTCTACCCCACCTAATCTTTCTCTCATACCCCTCAATACCCTTCTTCCTCATGTATTTATCAAGTTTCCTCTTAACATACATTATGCTCTCTGCTTTAACTACAGCTTCCGGCAATGTTTCCACATCTACGCCTCCCGCTGGGGAAAGTTCCTCCTAAATTCCCATTTCGATTTCTTGTGCTATGTTCTATTTATGCCCCCCTGTTCTGGACTCACAAAAAAATGGAAACAGACTATGTATGTCCACCTTAATGACTCCTTTTATAATTTTAATCAACTCTATCAGGTCCCTTGTCAATCGTCTCATTTTGAGAGAGAGAAACGCTTTAATCTAAAAAAAGCCTAATAATACTAATACTACTAATAAAATAATATTTACATGTGATATAGTGCCTTTCACTTCAGGAGGACGTCTCAAATATGCTTCACATGATTCAATGTGAAGTGTAGTGACTATTTTATAGCCTTGTCCACCAGTGCTGCTCCTTTAGTCTTGTGAATCTGAATCATAAGAACATAAGAATTTACTAGGTGAAACAAGACCAAGGTCTATCTAGTTTGCCTTCCACCATCTTGGCAGTTGCTTGACATGTCGTTTCCCAAGCTATATACTGTATCCTGAGATAATAGGAACTGTCCAACTTAATGATCACTAGAATCCCGAGAAAGATTGGTGACCTTCCTTTCATAAATCCATTCTGACTATTTGTTGTCAAGTCCTGTAGCTCAGTGGTTAGAGCACTTGCCTCTCAAGCGAGAGACCTGGGTTCGATGATGGTTTGTGGGACATTGCTGTATACAATTTGGCTGCCGCATTTTGCCCACAAATATACAGTTAATTCACTTTACAGTATATTCTGTGAAGCGCTTTTAGACATCTAGAGGATGTGAAAAGCGCTATATCAAAGGCAAGGATTATTATTATTATTATTGTAATTATATAGTACGCTCCTCGAGATGCTTAGTTATTTCATCCGCTGTTATAGATTCCAATAGTTTACCAACCACAGCTGTTAAACTGTAGTTTTCTGGATTAGCTCTAGCTCCTTTTTTTAAAAATAGATATATTACATAGATATTACATATGACACCCTCCAGTTCTCTGGCATGATTTATTTTTCTACACACACCCTTCCAAAGTGAAAAGGCATTATACCAAATGCAATAGTTATTATTATTGGAGTCCTGTAGCTTAGTGGTTAGAGCACTCGTCTAGCAAACGAGATGACCTTGAGTTCGATTCCTGCGAAACATTGGGCATGTTTCGTAACTCCACGGGCCACTGTTTACCTAGCAGTAAGTAGGAACCCGGTTGTTGGTCGATTGGCAGATAGTTTTTCTGGGGATAATAATCCTTGAAAAAAAAATAATAATTTGGTCATTCAATCCACTACTGTTTGTGGAGCACTGTTGTGCGCAATTGGCTGCTACATTTCGCCCACAAAATACAGTCAATTCACTTCACAGTATATTCTGTGAAGCTCTTTGAGACATCTCGAAGATGTGATAAGGTGCTATATCAAATGCAAGGATTATTATATTGTTATTGTTATTACTACTTCCACCGCTCCTATGGTCACCTCCTCTTTCTCCACTCCCCCTTACTTAGCATCTGTCCACATCACTATAAAGTGCTCTGAGAGTTCGCCTACAAAACACACAGTCACTCCACAATACAATATATCCTATGAACCCTGAGACGTCCCGTCGGCATAAAAGGCACAATACAAAATGCAAGGATGAATAGTTCTCAATGTGAAGGCAATGCAAAACATTGATGATTTTTTTTTTGGGGGGGGGGGGGATTATTTGGAAAGATTTACTTGGCAAATAACCCCAAAGCATTTCGAGCAACAACCCACGGTAACTTGTAAATTTAAACAGCACATTTTCAGGAATGTGCAAGTCCTCGCTTCCCACCACTTATGCAACCAGCGATCGAGCAGCTCTTATAAACAATACCGTGGGGGGGGGGGGGGGGTGCGCTTATTTTCAATAATTAATAATCTCATTGTGGCTATTGCATTTTTTGCAGTCGGGAGCAAAGAGCTCCTCCTTAGTGCAGGCAGGGAAACAGGTTGCCCACGGAATGAGCAGTGCACTTGATCTGTTTTGTGAATTGAAATGAAATATTCATGTTCGTGTCACTTTCTCTCTTTGACGATACGAGTAACAATAATAAACCGGGCATATGATATAGCGCCTTATCCGGTCGTCAAGACACCTCAAAGCGCTTCACAGGATTTACTGTGTATTTTGTGGGTGAGAGAGATAGATGGATGTCTGGTGAAGGCATTCCCCCCCCCCACACACACACACACACACACACACACACACAGAGTCCTCACCATTGACGTTGCTGTGCAGATGGGGGTGGGGGTGGGGATAAAGGTCTGGTTTCTTGTCAACAACAAAAATGTTAGCTTTGGCCTGACTGCTGCTCTTCATTATCACAATAAGAGGAAGAGGGGAGTGACTGCATTTCCTCTCAATGCGACACCAGCAGCAACACTTCTGACAGTGAGCAGAGCCTCAGACAGACAGACAGACAGACAGTGAGCAGAGCCTCAGACAGACAGACAGACAGACAGACAGTGAGCAGAGCCTCAGACAGACAGACAGACAGAGAGCAGAGCCTCAGACAGACAGACAGACAGACAGTGAGCAGAGCCTCAGACACACAGACAGTGAGCAGAGCCTCAGACAGACAGACAGTGAGCAGAGCCTCAGACAGACAGACAGACAGACAGAGAGCAGAGCCTCAGACAGACAGACAGACAGACAGACAGTGAGCAGAGCCTCAGACACACAGACAGACAGACAGACAGTGAGCAGAGCCTCAGACAGACAGACAGACAGACAGTGAGCAGAGCCTCAGACAGACAGACAGTGAGCAGAGCCTCAGACACACAGACAGACAGAGAGCAGAGCCTCAGACACACAGACAGACAGACAGACAGAGAGCAGAGCCTCAGACAGACAGACAGACAGTGAGCAGAGCCTCAGACACACAGACAGACAGAGAGCAGAGCCTCAGACAGACAGTGAGCAGAGCCTCAGACAGACAGACAGACAGAGAGCAGAGCCTCAGACAGACAGACAGACAGTGAGCAGAGCCTCAGACACACAGTGAGCAGAGCCTCAGACAGACAGTGAGCAGAGAGGGAGTGAAGCTCAGAGCTGCAGCTGTTCCCTCCTCTCCTCTCCCTCTCTCTCCATATATGCACTGTGTCTCTACAGTATATATATATATATAATCTCTTGTATTTCTCACTCACCATTTTGCTGCATTTATTTTCATTTCACCATTTTCAAACCTCTCACTTTATTTCCTGTTTATCTCATTCTCTGTCTCTTCATTTCCTCTCTCCCTTTTCCTCCTCTTTCCCCCCTCTCACCCCTCTCTCTCTCTCATTGCCTCCCCCCGGGGTGTGAGCCCCCCCTCCCCTCTCCCCTCTCCCCCCCTCTCCCCCCGCAGTTCTCAGTGTAATTCAGTGTCAGGGGGAGAGGCTCACAGCCAAAGCTATGCCTCGGGGACACAGAGCCATGTCACAGCTCCGCTCCCGAGTGGAAGGTAAGACGACAGTGTGTGTGTCATATATAACTGTGTGTGTGTGTGTGTCTGTGCTCTCTATACTGTGTGTGTGCTCTCTATACTGTGTCTGTGCTCTCTATACTGTGTGTGTGCTCTCTATACTGTGTGTGTGCTCTCTATACTGTGTGTGTGCTCTCTATACTGTGTGTGTGCTCTCTATACTGTGTGTGTGCTCTCTATACTGTGTCTGTGCTCTATACTGTGTGTGTGCTCTCTATACTGTGTGTGTGCTCTCTATACTGTGTGTGTGCTCTCTATACTGTGTGTGTGCTCTCTATACTGTGTGTGTGCTCTCTATACTGTGTGTGTGCTCTCTATACTGTGTGTGTGCTCTCTATACTGTGTCTGTGCTCTCTATACTGTGTGTGTGCTCTCTATACTGTGTGTGTGCTCTCTATACTGTGTCTGTGCTCTCTATACTGTGTGTGTGCTCTCTATACTGTGCCTGTGCTCTCTATACTGTGTGTGTGCTCTCTATACTGTGCCTGTGCTCTCTATACTGTGCCTGTGCTCTCTATACTGTGTGTGTGCTCTCTATACTGTGTCTGTGCTCTCTATACTGTGTGTGTGCTCTCTATACTGTGTCTGTGCTCTCTCCACTGTGTTTGTGCGCTCTCTATACTGTGTGTGTGTGTGCTCTCTATACTGTGTGTGTGCTCTCTATACTGTGTCTGTGCTCTCTATACTGTGTCTGTGCTCTCTATACTGTGTGTGTGCTCTCTATACTGTGTGTGTGCTCTCTATACTGTGTGTGTGCTCTCTACACTGTGTTTGTGCGCTCTCTATACTGTGTGTGTGTGTGCTCTCTATACTGTGTCTGTGCTCTCTATACTGTGTCTGTGCTCTCTCTACGGTGTCTGTGCTCTCTATACTGTGTGTGTGCTCTCTATACTGTGTGTGGGCTCTCTATACTGTGTGTGTGCTCTCTATACTGTGTGTGTGCTCTCTATACTGTGTGTGTGCTCTCTATACTGTGTGTGTGCTCTCTGTACTGTGTCTGTGCTCTCTATACTGTGTGTGTGCTCTCTATACTGTGTGTGTGCTCTCTATACTGTGTGTGTGCTCTCTATACTGTGTGTATGCTCTCTATACTGTGTGTGCTCTCTGTACTGTGTCTGTGCTCTCTATACTGTGTGTGTGCTCTCTATACTGTGTCTGTGCTCTCTATACTGTGTCTGTGCTCTCTATACTGTGTGTGTGCTCTCTATACTGTGTCTGTGCTCTCTACACTGTGTTTGTGCGCTCTCTATACTGTGTGTGTGTGTGCTCTCTATACTGTGTGTGTGCTCTCTATACTGTGTGTGTGCTCTCTGTACTGTGTGTGTGCTCTCTATACTGTGTGTGTGCTCTCTATACTGTGTGTGTGCTCTCTGTACTGTGTCTGTGCTCTCTATACTGTGTGTGTGCTCTCTATACTGTGTGTGTGCTCTCTATACTGTGTGTGTGCTCTCTATACTGTGTGTGCTCTCTATACTGTGTGTGCTCTCTATACTGTGTCTGTGCTCTCTATACTGTGTCTGTGCTCTCTATACTGTGTTTGTGCGCTCTCTATACCGTGTCTATACCGTGTCTGTGCTCTCTGTACTGTGTCTGTGCTCTCTGTACTGTGTCTGTGCTCTCTATACTGTGTTTGTGCGCTCTCTATACCGTGTTTGTGCGCTCTCTATACCGTGTGTGTGCTCTCTATACCGTGTGTGTGCTCTCTATACCGTGTGTGTGCTCTCTATACCGTGTGTGTGCTCTCTATACCGTGTGTGTGCTCTCTATACCGTGTGTGTGCTCTCTATACCGTGTCTGTGCTCTCTATACCGTGTCTGTGCTCTCTATACCGTGTCTGTGCTCTCTATACCGTGTGTGTGCGCTCTATACCGTGTGTGTGCGCTCTATACCGTGTGTGTGCGCTCTCTATACCGTGTGTGTGCGCTCTCTATACCGTGTGTCTGTGCTCTCTATACTGTGCGTGTGCTCTCTATACTGTGCGTGTGCTCTCTATACTGTGCGTGTGCTCTCTATACTGTGCGTGTGCTCTCTATACTGTGCGTGTGCTCTCTATACTGTGTGTGTGCTCTCTATACTGTATGTGTGTGCTCTCTATACTGTGTCTGTGCTCTCTATGCCGTGTGTGTGCTCTCTATACCGTGTGTGTGCTCTCTATACCGTGTGTGTGCTCTCTATACCGTGTGTGTGCTCTCTATACCGTGTGTGTGCTCTCTATACCGTGTGTGTGCTCTCTATACCGTGTCTGTGCTCTCTATACTGTGTGTGTGCTCTCTATACTGTGTGTGTGCTCTCTATACTGTGTCTGTGCTCTCTATACTGTGTGTGTGCTCTCTATACTGTGTCTGTGCTCTCTATACTGTGTCATATATTACTGTGTGTGTGCTCTCTATACTGTGTGTGTGCTCTCTATACTGTGTGTGTGCTCTCTATACTGTGTGTGTGCTCTCTGTACTGTGTCTGTGCTCTCTGTACTGTGTTTGTGCGCTCTCTATACTGTGTGTGTCTGTGCTCTCTATACTGTGTCTGTGCTCTCTATACTGTGTCTGTGCTCTCTATACTGTGTCTGTGCTCTCTATATTGTGTCTGTGCTCTCTATACTGTGTGTGTGCTCTCTATACTGTGTGTGTCCTCTCTATACTGTGTCTGTGCTCTCTATACTGTGTCTGTGCTCTCTATACTGTGTCTGTGCTCTCTATACTGTGTGTGTGCTCTCTATACTGTGTGTGTGCTCTTTATACTGTGTGTGTGCTCTCTATACTGTGTGTGTGCTCTCTATACTGTGTGGGTGCTCTCTATACTGTGTGTGTGCTCTCTATACTGTGTGTGTGCTCTCTATACTGTGTGTGTGCTCTCTATACTGTGTGTGTGCTCTCTATACTGTGTGTGTGCTCTCTATACTGTGTGTGTGCTCTCTATACTGTGTGTGTGCTCTCTATACTGTGTGTGTGCTCTCTATACTGTGTGGTGTGCTCTCTATACTGTGTGTGTGCTCTCTATACTGTGTGTGTGCTCTCTATACTGTGTGTGTGCTCTCTATACTGTGTGTGTGCTCTCTATACTGTGTGTGTGCTCTCTATACTGTGTGTGTGCTCTCTATACTGTGTGTGTGCTCTCTATACTGTGTGTGTGCTCTCTATACTGTGTTGTGCTCTCTATACTGTGTGTGTGCTCTCTATACTGTGTGTGTGCTCTCTATACTGTGTGTGTGCTCTCTATACTGTGTGTGTGCTCTCTATACTGTGTGTGTGCGCTCTCTATACTGTGTGTGTGCTCTCTATACTGTGTGTGTGCTCTCTATACTGTGTGTGTGCTCTCTATACTGTGTGTGTGCTCTCTATACTGTGTGTGTGCTCTCTATACTGTGTGTGTGCTCTCTATACCGAGTATGTGCTCTCTATACCGAGTATGTGCTCTCTATACTGTGTTTGTGCGCTCTCTATACGGTGTCTGTGCTCTCTATACTGTGTCTGCTCTCTATACTGTGTTTGTGCGCTCTCTATACCGTGTGTGTGCTCTCTATACCGTGTGTGTGCTCTCTATACCGTGTGTGTGCTCTCTATACCGTGTGTGTGCTCTCTATACCGTGTCTGTGCTCTCTATACCGTGTCTGTGCTCTCTATACCGTGTCTGTGCTCTCTATACCGTGTCTGTGCTCTCTATACCGTGTCTGTGCTCTCTATACCGTGTCTGTGCTCTCTATACCGTGTGTGTGCTCTCTATACCGTGTGTGTGCGCACTCTATACCGTGTGTGTGCGCTCTCTATACTGTGTCTGTGCTCTCTATACTGTGTCTGTGCTCTCTATACTGTGTCTGTGCTCTCTATACTGTGTCTGTGCTCTCTATACTGTGTCTGTGCTCTCTATACTGTGCGTGTGCTCTCTATACTGTGTGTGTGCTCTCTATACTGTGTGTGTGCTCTCTATACTGTGTGCTCTCTATACTGTGTGTGTGCTCTCTATACTGTGTGTGTGCTCTCTATACCGAGTATGTGCTCTCTATACCGAGTATGTGCTCTCTATACTGTGTTTGTGCGCTCTCTATACGGTGTCTGTGCTCTCTATACTGTGTCTGTGCTCTCTATACCGTGTTTGTGCGCTCTCTATACCGTGTGTGTGCTCTCTATACCGTGTGTGTGCTCTCTATACCGTGTGTGTGCTCTCTATACTGTGTCTGTGCTCTCTATACTGTGCGTGTGCTCTCTATACTGTGCGTGTGCTCTCTATACTGTGCGTGTGCTCTCTATACTGTGCGTGTGCTCTCTATACTGTGTGTGTGCTCTCTATACTGTGTCTGTGCTCTCTATGCCGTGTGTGTGCTCTCTATACCGTGTGTGTGCTCTCTATACCGTGTGTGTGCTCTCTATACTGTGTGTGTGCTCTCTATACTGTGTGTGTGTGCTCTCTATACTGTGTCTGTGCTCTCTATACTGTGTCATATATTACTGTGTGTGTGCTCTCTATACTGTGCCTGTGCTCTCTATACTGTGTGTGTGCTCTCTATACTGTGTGTGTGTTCTCTATACTGTGTGTGTGCTCTCTATACTGTGTGTGTGCTCTCTATACTGTGTGTGTGCTCTCTATACTGTGTGTGTGCTCTCTATACTGTGTGTGTGCTCTCTATACCGTGTGTGTGCTCTCTATACCGTGTGTGTGCTCTCTATACCGTGTGTGTGCTCTCTATACCGTGTGTGTGCTCTCTATACCGTGTCTGTGCTCTCTATACCGTGTCTGTGCTCTCTATACCGTGTCTGTGCTCTCTATACCGTGTCTGTGCTCTCTATACCGTGTCTGTGCTCTCTATACCGTGTCTGTGCTCTCTATACCGTGTGTGTGCTCTCTATACCGTGTGTGTGCGCCTCTATACCGTGTGTGTGCGCTCTCTATACTGTGTCTGTGCTCTCTATACTGTGTCTGTGCTCTCTATACTGTGTCTGTGCTCTCTATACTGTGTCTGTGCTCTCTATACTGTGTCTGTGCTC